GGTAAAAGAATTGTGTCTTTGCTTATAGAGCCAAAAATGGAAAGTGACACCCCCGAAAGACTTGTCTCCTTCCTGAGAAATGTTAAAGATCTGAAAAATTTTCCTGCTATTAGGGCTGGTGTGATACGTTAGTGAACACCTCGTTGATGTTATGTACTTAGCTTCTCAGCTGTCCAAATGCTGACAGAGAGCTGACAGATTTGAGAAAAGTTACTGTTAAAAATTAAAAATGAAAAAAAAAAAAAGTACAGAGAGGCCTGACTACTGTCACTTTTATCCTATCCTGGCTATATTTGAAGTATTTAATAACTAGACTTAAAAGAAAAGCAAAAGATGTGCTCAGTGCATTTGAGGATAGCAGTTTGCTGAGCTGCTGGCCTTACCTTAGTGCTTAAGTTCATAGCTCTGCCACAGCTGTTTCAGACTGCGTGGGTGTATTGGTCAGCAGCAGCAGCAGACTCTGCCAGCTGAAATGCTCTGCAGTTTTTAATGCCCATTTAGCAACCTGACCTCCCTGCTAACTGTAGCTCCTCTTGCAGAAAATTTCTTGTTTAGAATTCATAATCTGACAGTCTAGGTCACTCAGGTTCCTTCTTAGTTCGCAGCTGGTTTTGTGGGCCACATTTGTCTTTTGGGGAAACTGTCGCCTCCAGCCCTGTTCACCTACTAAACTGTTTGCAGTGTGGCGAAAAAGGCCATGAGAAGCTGAAGAAAAAAAAAAAAAAGGAGGGTGGTTGGAAGAGGGACATTTTTCCATTTTTGAGAGGAGGGATCACCTCAGCCATGAGCTATCCCTTCCTTGTGTAGGCAGAGCTAGAGAGGCCAGTGCAGCTGCACTTGGCAGGATTGCTCCGAGAGAATTGCTGACATATGTATGCTGAGATATATATATATATGTATATGTGTGTGTGTATATGTATCAGGGAATGATCCAATGAAAAAATAAATGAGAGGAGAGAATTTTTCAGGCAAGGGTGGGCATAGAGTTGCAAATCCTTGCTTGCAAGTTCTTTATCTGTACAAATCAGAGGTGTATATCTCACGCACCTTGGGAGGAAGGTGAGAGGGAGTCTCCTTAGCATGTCTTTAAGAGTTAAGAGCATGTTACATTATTTTCTGCAGGACTGTTTTGTATTTAAGCACTGCACTGTTGTTTCTTAATGTTACTGCAGATCTTCACTTTATCTAATTTGTTTTGTTTCCACTGCATATAGTCCTCCTCTTCTGTCACCTTTGCCTCTTGGCCTCAGCCATGAAGTGATAAGAGCAAGAACAGACCACTTTTTGAAAAAGCCAGGGCTTTTATTCTTATTTATTTTTTTATTTAAGCCCAGAGGGCTCTTCAGTTTGTGTCAGTCAAAAAATAATAAATTACATAATTTTCCCAGTTGGTCAGGAAGAATTCTTTTAACTTTGAGGAGCTTTGTAAGGCTGGCCTCTGTATCCAGCTACTCAAATGCAGTTTAGTTTGGACAGGCATCACTTTAGTCCGTTCTGTCCTCATTTAAAAAAAAAAAAAAAAAAAAAGCTGTTATTGCCTATACTGCTTTCATTATGAGGACTGTATACCAAGACAAAGCTCTGTGGCAGCATAGAGAATGAAATGACTCTTGGATTGTCATCAAGCACAGATGGGTGATGCTCAGGAAATCTGTTGTAAGCCTGAGGTGAGGTTCCTCTTACAAGGTGTGATGTCTCATCAGAGAAGAATGGTGATAAAAGATGAAGACGCCATAATGAAAAACAAGTGATGACCCAGAAACAAAAGCCTAATTCTTATTGAAGCCCCTTGAGGTTTCTGCTCTCTCTTTCATGCGGTCTTCAAAGATCTGGAAGTCCATGTGAGACCTGTTGAGTAATTCTCATAATTACTTCCATATTTCACTTCCATCCACTGGCCAATGTCCTGGTCCTCTTCTCCCACAATTAGTGATGCAAAAAACCTACTTTAATTTTTTACTTTAAAGATAGGTTTTCTGTTCATTTCAGAGAGTAGCTAGGAGCGGCCATGCATTCTATCAGTTAAAATCCAATTACTTGTGGTGGGAGGTCTCTGCACTGCTTCTTCCCTCCATCACAGAGTAGATTGAGGAGATTTTGGCAAGGATGAAAGAAGGAACCTTTGCCAGAGGGTAATTTTTCCATCCCATATTAAGAAGATCTTTTGTTCAGCAAAGAGGCAATGATCACTATGATTTGTTTAAATTTTTTTACTTGTGGATGTTTTATACTCAGAACTATTATTTGCAACTGGGCGTTGGTAAACATTCTCTTTGAATTTAGAAGTAGTAAATAAGGTTGGTTCTAGCCTCTGTCTCAGCCAGGGCCCCGGAGACTGATGTTTTGCAAAGCTGGGGGAGGTCCAGCCAGCAGAACTTACAGCATCTTCTGTTACCGCCCAAGTCACAAGGCATAGGAATAAGAAAGAGGCAGTGACTGTCATGTTGCCTGAAGAGCTTTATACCTTTCTGGCTTGATTAATTTACCCTTGCATCTCTGAGTGCCTCTGCATTGTGGAATGGCTCTGCTATGGATAACCACTCCGCTCCTGCCAACCACAGCACAGAGCAGGATCACTGTGAATGCTTGCTTGAATTCCTTGCTTATTGCTTTCATGAGCTCCAGAAGACAAGGAGCGTACAGAAATTACTTTACTGATGGCAGGAATACTGCCGTTCTAACTACCATAATAAACCACTGAAGCCAGATTTGAAGTTTTCCCCTAGGCCCTTCTTGGGAAAATAAAAAGGTCCAAGTAAAGAGATCGAGACCCAGATATTTAAGAAAAGGATTATAATATTATTATTTAGAATTCTTTAAAATTCCAGTCCTGCCCTGTTTATTGAACAAATAACTTGTTTAGTGCTATCTAAATTGAACACTCAGAGAAACAGAAATGTTACTTATATTCAACAGGTAGATGTACCAGCTTCAGGAGGCCAGAGAGCCTAAGCATTTGCTTAGTGTTTAGTCTTTTGTTTGTTTCTAATTGGGAACTCCCTCTAATTCTGTGTTCATATTCCTTTCATGTTTCGGATACAGAAAATCTCAGAGTAACATGTGATGACTTTTCTGCTTAACAGTTTTGCTAAAAATCCTGGCCTGACACATAATTCGTGATTTAATTTCCTAGCAGCACCCTGGTGTTGAAACCAATTTAACAGGTGAGCCCCTTGTGTCCTTGATCATGAAGTTGTGCCTGTAGGCTTCAGGACTTGTAGTGATTTCTGTGGTTCACCAGAGAAGCTGAAAGTAGCCCTTGAAGAAGATGCTATGTTTTACTGGGTAGTCATGTTCCTAAACAGTGAATCACCAGGAAGACAAGAAGTCTACCCCAAAACACCTCGCTGCTTACCAGCATGGCAGAAATTTGTTGAATTTAGACTGTTTGTTAAAACCAAAGCCATCACTTAAGTCAGGGAGGCAAAAGCAAAGGAATCAATTGTTACTACTAAAAATGTTGTTCATAAACATTTTCATTGACTTCATAAAAATATTTTTTCTTTAGGTAATTTGTCTATTTGGTTTTGAAGGGTTGTTCTAGTGTAGGATATTCACTAGGATGGAAATGATATTCAGATGCTTTCAGCTCAGGAGCGCTACTTCATTCTGTTTCTGTTGCTTATACACGTCAGAGAATTGTAGACACTGAGGCATTACGAAGATTTTATAAAACTTCCCATATGCTCCACAACTTGCAGCCCTTTTATAGGGATCCAGCAAGCTTTGCCTGATCTCAGTGCCATTTCTTTCCTTCTGGCAGAAATACAGATAATTTTTGGGTAATGTTACTTGCTTACCAAAGGGAAGACGGAAGGAGATTTGTATATAATCTCTACTTGATTTTAGGTGTCTAGATTTTAAAGAATCTTTTTCTTCTGTACTGGCAGCCTCTTAATGATGAAAATCCACCACAATCACCTTGTGGACCTTGATACAAAAATAACTAAGAAGATAAGCGTACTTGAAATTTTTCTTTCTTTGACTGTTAAGATCTAGGTCCGAAGCACTATGAATGTTTGTGAGGCGAATGTGAGGATTTGAGTTTGTTATTATTAGGTAGAATTAGTGCTGTAGTAGCAGCAATTGCTTTGGTTTTCTTGGAGACATAGTTAAGTCAGTCTGTAATGTGGGAAGGAAGATTTAAATCATCTAGGGGAAAGTTTCAATTGGAGGAAACTTCAGTGGATCACTTCTGCTCCCAGTGACTGTTTGGCCTGACTCTACACCGTTCTGCGAAGTGGCTGAAGCATCACCATATTGCATCTGTGGCCTCTGCTATTCAAACAGCAGATATTTTCAGATAAGCGCAGAGAAATTTTCCTATTCACTGAGAGAAGTAATGCAAATCAGTATGTCAGCTTTGATTTATTATAGTCCTAGAGGATAGTGTGCATGGGTGCTTTTCCTATGAAGCTGTCTATGCTGCAGAGAGATTTAATTTTCAGCAGGGAATGTATTATGCAGCTTATTTGATTGCAAATTTGTTTAAACAGCTTTCAGCTTTGAATTTCCCAGTTAGGTAATGTAGGTTTAGATACTAATTGCAAAATTGGCATGATATGAGTCACATAGATTTAAGGTATAGTGCACCTGGTCTGACTGCTTGTTAGCTTTAAGCGGCTTTACACAATAGCTGCCCTACAACTGAATTTAACTCTTTCATTTATTGAGTTCTCTTCCAAATAATTTTTGTCTGAGGAAGAAGGATTTTCTTGGTACTCAAGGAATGGCTGTCTTCATTCAAAGTTTTGATGCTGGAGTATGCATGTTTTGTGGATTGGTGTAAGTTCTAACTGGTACACCAATGTGATGAAATGAAGTGATTTTTTAAAACTCAAAAATGAGTGTATGGCACAGAGAGCATCTTCTTTACCTGTTTCTCGTGGTTTCATTTTCCCTTAGAGGATGGTGGGAGGGATCGTTTTACAGTCACAATCCGTTTAGAAAATAGTAAGCTTCACACCTAAGATTCCTCCTTTCATCCCTTCGTTTCACAGGCCTAAAAGATGCTACAGGCTCTGAGAGTGATGGTGGTGACTCTTGCAGCACGAAATCAGAAGGAGCCAATGGAGGCACGACAATCCAACCCAAAAAGGTCAAGGGTGTTGGCTTTGGAGATATCTTCAAAGACAAACCTATAAAGCTACGACCAAGGTCAATAGAAGTTGAAAATGACTTTCTCCCAGTAGATAAGGTACGTGTCATTTCTTAATTCTCTCTTGGTGTTGGTTTAAAGAAGTTTTCATCCTAAAGTTCTGAACTCTGTTGCTGGCCAAAACTTGGAAGTTTTATGGTTGTTATTTCCTAATCTTTCTGTGGACAAGATTCTGCTTTCTTTTCTTTTGCCCCACACACTAGAAAATGAATTCTAGTGAGGTTGCTGCTTGCAAGGTCTGTTAGTTTGCTTAAAGGTTTACTCCTCTGTTCGTACCTCCATCTGTTTAACTGGCCATTTTTCCTAAGAAAATACTACTTTAGAAAACAAGACAGGAGAGGCTTTTCAGGTTTTCAGTTACTTACATTATGGTAAAAAGAAATTGCTAATTATTACGTAAAGTAAGAGTGAGATACTGCCATTGTGCCATCAATTAGCTTTAAAAAAAAAGGAAGCTTTGGCAGATACATAAATATCTCAACTTAGTACTGGATTTGTTAAAATATGTTTTCAAAAATCACCTAGCTTTGTTTGAAGGGATTAGTAAAAGAGAAAGCACATTTTTTATGGGATTGTTCTATGTGACATAGAAAGAAAGTCCTGAGATAAACACTTGGGGAAAAAATTTACTCTCTGACAAATTGAAACAGACCATCTTTTTAGAGAGTACTCTTTGTTCCAAAGTCTCCAAAACTATCACTATGTAAATTAGGAATAAAGAAAAATTAGATGTTTCTGATGAATTGGAGGAGGCAAACTAAAAAAAAAAAAAAAAAAGGATCACTCTAAGGTATGTTCATTAGGGAAACAAAGAAATGCATTGTTTCCTAATGAAGTAACAACCAAAGAAAAATCTGTGAAATCCTTCCTTTAAGTGAACAGTTAGATTTGCATAGGGTTACTGATATGCTGAGAAGTGCTAGGAGGCTTCCACAGCCTGGAGTTCTGCTGTCGGCCTAGTTACGTGATGCATTTTCTTTGGCTTCATGGTGATTTTAAGAAGCTCCTGGGCAGCTGCTCTTGTTCCCTGGTATGGCGGCTTCTCACCTTTTGAGTTGTGCTTGTCCAGTTGTCTGTAGAACCAGGCACTTCATAAATTACGTCTTTTTGGCCCACAAAGTTTTGGTTTCTTATTCTAGATCATTTCAGTGACCTGATTTATAGCACAGCACCTACCCCTGCATCCGCCCTGAGTTGTAGCGGTACAGCAGAAGGGGACATCCTGCAGAGGCATGGTGGAAACTTCTTAAGTTAGTAACGCTGATGGAGAATTGGTTAATATTTTACAGTAGGCTGCAATTTGGATTCTGTATAAGGAGGGTGGTGAGGAACTGGGATAATCTAGGTGAAGGTAAACCTAGATTGTATTACTCCTTGATCATTGCTGACTTCTTCAAAGCCTGCATGGTACCCTGCTTGCCTTCTCTTTCTGGGTAGGCTTATTAACTCACGTGCGGAGCTTTGTTAACACGCAGGGCCGGGAGCAGCTGAGCTGTATTCCAATGGCACCTCATCAAAGAAGTCTCCCTGGGATACAAGACAGGGACAGGACAGGCCTGGTGGTGTTCACCAAGAGCTAGCTAATGAACCTCCCTCCTGCCGGATTCAGGGAATGGGATAGAGAGCAGTGAAGTCAGCTTTGCATGGAGCCATCATGGTGTCTATCTGCAGTGTGGTTTATTTGTGACCCTGAAAACCTGCCAGTGTTTAAGGGGCGATTGGGCTCTGTAAGTATGCTGAAAAATAATTTTACCAGCACATGAACTTGGTTAATAAAAGGTTTCTTCTGATAGCAGACAGACTTAAACTCATGCATGGCTGTACTTGAACCTTTTTTTTTTTTTTTGGACTCAGCACATAAAAAGCCCTGTAGTATCAGGAAATGTGTATTTTAATAATGCAGTTCTACAAGAGATGAGTTTTAAATTATTAATTTCCCACATCTAGGTATGTAAAGGAAATACGCAGTGCGGGAAAGAAATTACCAGAGATAAACATAGTACTGTAATTTACATCACAATAGTATTTATAATTGGTGTGTAACATAAGCATTCACTTGTAAGGGTGATGCATATGTACGCACTGACAAGAATTCACGTTGCACAAAATTCAGTTCTCCCAAGTCTGATATAGGCGGATTAGAATTTACAAATGATAAGGCCCTGTTAATGCCACATGAGGATTTCTTGTGTCTGCAGTTTACTATAATTGTAGTTATCTCTACAGTAGTGATTGTAAATGGGAACTGTTTAAAATAAATTACATATCCCTTGAACTCTGGAGTCCCTTGTTTTAATGTGAAGTGTTCGCAAAGTGCTTATGAAGTGCCCTTAATTCCCTGAAGGGAAGTCTTACTCCACTTTATAATAGTGAGAAGTCTTACCTTTGTTTTTCACAAAAAAACAAATATTTGTGCAGCATAAGTTAATGGGTTTGTTACCCACCCAAAAAGTAAATATAGAATTTTCAGAAAATTTCTAAAATTTTCCATCCTACCCACAGACCTTCCTTCCTGTGTCTTCAGATTTCTCCTAAATTTGGCATGGTTAGTGGAAAATAATGGCTTCATTTTTGTAAACACAATCCATTATTTGTGATTCAAGCATGTAGATAACCAAAAGCAACACTTCTTTGCTGTCATTGCTTTCTTCCTGTCTCGGGGTCAGGATGGTTAACATTTGAGCAGTGCCATTCAGAGGCACTGTGGTCTTCGCCTGCTCATAGCACCAAAATATGATTCACTGATACAACATTCGGTTACGATCGCAAAACATTAACGTCCCAAGTACTTCTCTCCTGGCTGCAAGAAATTCCTCCCTCATCATTGTCATGTTCTTTGCCATTTAATGCTGGCTCAGAGAGAGAGAATCCTGTGTTAAGTTTGTCATTCCAAGCAAGGTCATATTTATCTTGGATCAAATAGTGGATCAAAAGTATTGCAATGTATGATGCAGAGTGCCAAATTGCTACAATTTTTTCTCTAGAAATGTAGTTTTTAAAGGGATTTTTGCCCTGGTATGTGCCTTGCTCATTTACAGGTAGCCTCAGTTTTTCAATAACTTGTAATATTTTGAAGAGGCAGAAACAATGCTTTTGTCAATTCCTTCTTTTTTATTTAATTCTTTCTGAAGTTTGGAGGCCCTAAAACTCTTTCTATTGCTTCTTCTTGATACAGTTATTGATGAAACATTTTATATATTACTGTAAGGGTACTGTTACCTTTTTGATTTAAAATATTTCCTAACAAGTACTGATTTTTTCAAAAGCATCAATAAATTACTGTGAGGATTTTATAACATAGGATTATTTAGAACAAAATAGTTTCCATGGAAAATGTCAGTCCCATTTACAGAAGAATCAAGTGTCTCATTTTGTTGGCATTATCAGTTTGTGTTCTAATGTGTTTTTAATTTTATGAATCATAAGTTTAGATAATATTTCACGCAGAGGTGATATGAATTATTGAGGTGTTAAGAAGGCTTTTACACAAATATTGGCAGGAGTATGAGGGCAACAAGGATTGCTACCAGTTGGTCAGAAGCAGATGCCATTAGGCTCTCCTGTAAATCACCAGCTAGTTTGATGTGCTCCTAGTGTTAGCCCAGTGGTAACAACGTAGGATACAGTGGCCCTTGGCTTTTAAGGTAATCAATAAACTGTCTAACTAAAGGCAAAACTGTGGCATTGCGTGAAACCTCATTGGTTTTATTGGTGTGCCGAATTCATTGCTTTGCTGCTCTTTGTTCTAAAAATCACAGAAGCAGATTATCCTAGGGAAATTAACGATGCAGTTGTAGGAGTTTAATTTAAGCAGTGCCTTCAGAGTTTTGCTTTTCTTAAAAAAGTAAAAGAACCAAATGCTTATGCTTTGTAGTCCTTTTCTTTGCCTCTTTGCATTGATGAATTGACCACTGGCTGTGTACAGCTAGAATCAGATTCCTGAGGCTTGGCTCTGTCAAATTCCCATTAATGATAGGTGTAAGTGAACTAATCTACAATGCTGCATGTGACTGAAGACACAGCTTGCTGGCAGGTGAATTTTTAGAAGAAATACAATATGCATATAGGCACGTTGTATCTCCTGAGAAAATTTGGTGTAACACTGTTAAAGTAGCAAAAGTTTTATGCTCAAATAGAAATGCCTGTTTCACATGTCCTGCTTCTGCTCATGCAGCTTAAAGACATTTAAACACGAGTTTATGCTTATTTCTTTTTTCCTTTTTCGTTTTGTAGTAGCTTATCTAAAACTTCTGTTTCTAGGTTAGACTTCCTTCCAATATAATCTATATGTGCTTCCGCTGATCTAACAAGCTATCACTTTTTCCTCTCCTGTATCTAAAAATAAACCTCTGAAAATATAGGAAAATTAATTCAACCAGTACATTCCTTAGTCTGAGTTGACTGTGTCAGGTTGGTCTGTGAGTTGAGGCTTCAGATAACAATGATAAAGGCCATAATAGGTGAATATAAAATAAAACCTCTCAAAAAGCCTATTTTATCTTTTTGAAAACTACCCTTACTTCAGAAGAGACTATTGGGAGTATTTTTTACATTTTCCATTTGAGATACATTTGTAGTTTTCTTCAGGCAAGACTTTCATAGTTGGCTAGCCGTGGTGAATTTGAGCAGAACGAGATTTCATTAACAGGCTTTGATGAGGTCACATTAGTGTATGCCAGAATTTAATGTAAATTATATACTCAACCATAAAACTGGGGAATATTGCAGCCACTGTAATCATTTAATATAAAGGGAGAGGCTATCATGGCTGCAGATCCAGCAAACTGTAAGATCCAGTTAACTGGTGTTTAGGGATCCTTCTCACTGCAAAACAGTGAACTTACACAGAATTTTTTATTTCTGTATACATTTAGTATGTTTGGGAGAGAAGAAATGGAGAAGAAATAATGGAAGTAGACACAAGAGCTGTAAGGGCTAGGAGCTCATGTCAATTATTAAGCCTACCTGTCCTCTGTAATAAGACAGAAAATTGTAAACTCGGAGCCTGAGTGCCTGCAAGGACTGAGTTTCTATTTTGA